CTGTGTCTTCGGCCCTCGTAGGCGCCCATGTTCAGCTGAGGGCCGTGGTGGTTCAGGGGTAGAATTCTCACCTCCCATGCAGGGGATGCAGGTTCCACTCCCAACCAGGGCACCTCATGCACAGCCACCACCCATCTGTCAGTGGAGGCTTCTGTGTTGCTACGATGCTGAACATGTTTCAGCAGAGCTTCCAGACTAAGACAGACTAGGAAGAAAAGCCTGGCAATCTACTTCCGAAAACCAGCCCCTGAAAACTCTGTGGATCTCAATGGTCTGATCATGCGATGGTGCAGGACCGGGCAGCATTTTGTCTGTCGTGTGTGAGGTCGCCGTGAGTCGGGTGGCTTCACTTCATGCTGACGACCCCAGGGGGCTGCCGCTCTTCCCTGGCCTGTGGGTGGGTCTTGGGACTCAACGAGGCTGGCCGGCGGCCTTCTGACCCTTCGAGGCCCCAGTGAAGGAGGCGGCAGCTGGGCTGCTCTCCTGGGACGGTCTGGGGATGGTGTGAGAGGAGTCACAAAGGCTGAGCCCATGCCTGGCTAGGCGGGGCCACCTCCTGCCTGAGGAGCCCCAGCCCCGTGGGGGAGCCCGGAGAGGAGCAGGCAGGTACGACCGAGGTGGAGTGGCCCTGGGGACCCTCCTGCACAGGTGGCGTTAGTGAGGGCGCCATCCTCTTCAGAGCGAGGCCTCCCAGCTGACCTGGGTGGCAGGGCCAGGCTCTAGAAGTGGGAGCTGGAGCCAGCGGGCCGCGACTGGGTGCTCGCCCAGCAGGCTGGGGCCCTGGGGTGGAGGCGGAGCACGAGGCATTGTCGAGTGCGTGTGCTGGAGCAGGTGGGCAGGGCCCCAGGCCATGTCCCCCAGCCCTGCTGGTGGCTGCAGCAGGTAACCCTGGGCAAGAGGTGGCTGGCTGCTCCCAGCCCCCAGCTGCAGGCCCCACTCGGGAACCCCGGCCCCCGGCAGGTGCAAGAGTGGGGGGTGGTGCAGGGCGACCATCTGCATGGGTTGTGGCAATACTTCAGGGACGAGGCCAGCAGAGGGTCTTGGGCAGAGAGAGGCAGGTTCCCGCAGGCCCTCAGGGGCCAGTGTGTGTCTCCTTGCCTTAGGGCTGCGTCTCCTGACCTTGGAGTCGTGCCCCCTGATCTCAGGGCTGCGTCCAGGCCCAGGCTGGAGGCTGTGTCGGGCTACGGCAGGCAGAGAGGGGAGAGAGCGGGAGGCAGGCTGTGGCGCTGATGCACCCTGGGGACAGGAGGCTGCTGTTTGGTTTATTTTCCCATTTGCTGCGTCTTTGTTTCCATAATTTTGCTTTTATTGGCAGTAACTTACCAAAACTGACTGTTGGTGGTATTTATGAAGCAGCTTCTCCGGGGAAGCTGGGATCTCCAGCTCGCTGGTGGGGACAACCTGGGGCTGGGCTGTTTTCCTATGGGTGGGGGAAAAGGGGCGTCACGCCGTCACCCATGAGGAAAAACGCCTGGGTGCCAGCTCCCACCTCCTCTGCTTGGAATGACCCCTTCTTTCCCTCTTCTTTGATGGGAGCAGCCTGGGGGTGCCAGGGAGAAACCCCCAGATCACACTGATGGTGGGCCTGGAGGCCTGGCAGGGGGAGCCCTTCGGGAAAGGTGCTGGCTTCTGAGGGGTTGGACAGTACAGGAACGGGCAGGTCAGGGGGTCCGCTGCAAGGCACGGGTGGGTCAGGGAGCCCCTGCAGGGCATGGGTGGGTTGGGGGGGTCCTTTGCAGGGCACAGGGTTAGGTCGATCAGGGGTTCTCCTGCAGGGGGTGGTGGTGGGTAGTTAGGGGGTCCCCTCCAGGGTGCAGGGTCAGACAGGCTAGGGGGTCCTTTGCACAGCATAGAGATGGACGAGTTGGGGACCCCTGCAGGGTAGCGGAGTCGGGTGGGTCAGGGGGTCCCTGCAGGGTGTGGAGTCGGGTGGGTCAGGGGGTCCCTGCAGGGTAGCGGAGTCGGGTGGGTCAGGGGGTCCCTGCAGGGTAGCGGAGTCTGGTGGGTCGGGGGGTCCCTGCAGGGTGTGGAGTCGGGTGGGTCGGGGGGTCCCTGCAGGGTGTGGAGTCGGGTGGGTCGGGGGGTCCCTGCAGGGTGTGGAGTCGGGTGGGTCGGGGGGTCCCTGCAGGGTGTGGAGTCGGGTGGGTCGGGGGTCCCTGCAGGCTGTGGAGTCGGGTGGGTCAGGGGGGTCCCTGCAGGCTGTGGAGTCGGGTGGATCAGGGGGTCCCTGCAGGCTGTGGAGTCGGGTGGATCAGGGGGTCCCTGCAGGCTGTGGAGTCGGGTGGGTCAGGGGGTCCCTGCAGGGTGTGGAGTCGGGTGGTCAGAGGGTCCCTGCAGGGCTCCGGGATGGGCCTTCCTTCCAGTGCAAGCTGCATAGGGGCTATCCCATGCAGGACAGTCTCTTTGGGGTGGAAAGAAGCTTGAAATGGAGCTGTCTTTGGGGAGACTTAGTAGTGTCCTGGTCGGGGGTGGTGTGGGGGCACCCAGGTCACCCCCAGCTTCCCGTCATGCTCCCACGTTGTAGCCAGAGCCATGAGCAGTCCGCGTGGCATCCTAACCGGCTGTCTCAGGCACGGGAACATGCTGATTCCCTGCAGCACCTACTGGAAGGGCCCAGAAATGTCCAGACCCTTCCTTCCAACCTCCAAGGGCCCTCGCTGCAGCCCTGACCCGTGGAGTCCTCTCTGAGCCCCTCCGCCGTCCCTGACCCCTAGAGTTCTCTCTCTGCCCCGCCCCCGCTTCCCGACTTCTGGTGTCTGCTTTCTGCCCCCCAGCCAGGGGTGGATTAACCAGTAAGCAAGGTACACACGAGTTTACATTAAGCAAGGTACGCACTGGCTGACTTGTGCTTACTTACTCCTCTGCGGTGCACAATTTCACATGGGTTTCACCACATGAAAAACAGGTGAAGTGTGCACTGCAGATGAGTAAGTAAGCACGAGTCAGCCCATGCATACCTTCCTCACTGGGTAAGGCGTCCCTGCCCCCCACAGCCCTGACCCCCAGTGTCTGATCTCTGCCCTCTCAGCAGCCCTGACCGCTGGAGTCTGCTCTCTGGGCCCCCAAAGCCCGGGCTCCCAGCGTCTGATCTCTGGCCGCCCCCCAGCCCTGACTCTGGCATCTGCTCTCTGGGGTGCTGGTCTCCTTCGGGATCATAAAGAACCTCACTGGTAGGTCTGATCAATTTCAGCGTCGCCGAGGGATGTCCCCAGTGGACGGTGCGAACCCGGGCAGAGCGGGACTTGTGGCCAGGCAGACAAGGCAGAACCAGACAGTGGCAGTGGCACCGGCACCTTGCCGCAGAGGTACATCTGGGCCACGAGGGGTCGTCTGGGGGCCCTAGGGCTGGAGCTGGATTTGGCCCCACTGAGTCCAATCTGAGGTCCACCCCTTCCTCGACAGGCCTGAGAGTCTCCGAATATAAGGGGGGGCTGCAGAGCCTGGCTGGGGGAGGGGGAGGCACCTCCCAGAGTGGTCGTCTGGCTTGAAGCTTCTGGGGCTCCTGCCACTTTCTCGCCCGCAGCTGCCAGACGGCAGGAAGGCCCCCATGGCTGCTGGTGGCTCAGACTCTGCCCTTGGACACATGTGGCCATGTGCGCCAGTGACCAGGGTGCTCTAGGGCCCAGAACCCCCGCTCGTGCCCTGTGCCTGGGCAGGGTTGGCATGGTGGGCCTCTGCAGGGCTGCCCCCTGGTGTCCCGGGGAAGGTTCTCTGGATATGCCTTGAGGGTAGCCCCCATCGTCCGCACCTGCCTAGAGCTGAGGAGTCCCTGGGTGGTGCAAAAGATTAACCAGCTCGGCTGCTAACTGAAAGGTTGGCAGTTTAAACTCACCCAGAGGTGCCTCAGAAGAAAGGCCTGACAATCTACTTCTGTAAAGATTACGGCAAGAAAACCTTCTGGAGCTCAGTTCTACTTTGTAACACATGGGATAGTCGTGAGTTGGAATTGATTCGACAGCAACTGGTTTTTTTTTTTTTTTTTAATTGGTGCAACGGTTAACGTGCTTGGCTGCTAACTGAAAGGTTGGCAGCTGAAGTTCACCCAGAGGCAGCTCAGAAGAAAGGGCTGGTGATCTACTTCTGAAAAATCAGCCATTGAAAACCCTATGGAGCGCAGTTTTACTCAACACACATAGGGTGGCCATGAGTAGGAATTTTCTTCTTTTTTTTTTTTTGGCTGCAGACCCCCTTTCTTTGGAGACACTAGGGAATGAGCACCTTTAGGGCAATTCCTAAAGTACTAAGTATCTGTAATGACAGCAGCAGTGCCCCGAAGGCCAGGCATCTTGGGACCCACACGGACCTGGGGTGGGTCCCCTGACGCCCAGTGTACCACTGCCGCTGAGTGCCAGAGGTGGGATTTGAACCGTGCTCTTCCTTAGGGGCCATGCTGAGCCCATGTCCCACCAGAATCCCCTCAAAGGTGAGAGGGGGCCCACTGGAGGCTGACCGGCGGGTGCCGCCCAGGAGTGGCGGGGCCAAGGACACCAGCAGGGCTCCTGGCATCTAGGCAGCGTCCCTGTCTCTAGCTGTATTTCTCTGGCAAAAGGTGCCCGAGCACGAGCCAGGGACTTCCCTGGTTCAGCCGAGAAAGTAGACGGAGCCTTGAGTGGGCGACCGATGTCAGCGCGCTCTCGGCCCTTTGCCAGGCTCAGGCTGGCTCCTCTCCTGTACCTCCACTCAGGCCCGGACGGAGCCCTGACCCGACACTGAGCCTGGCTGGCAGCACCCCCCCAGCTTCCGCTCTGGACCCAGAACAACCCTGAGCCCTGGCCCTGGCCCATCGGCTCACTCTCCCCAGCATGGCCGCCTGGGCCCAGTGCCCTGGGCAGACTGGGGCAGGGGTCTGCTTGGGGCCTCACCAGGAGTGAGGTCTGAGGCCCAGTCACTGAGTGACACGGGGTTATTATGCTGTCACGGAGTCCCCCTGGAATTCTCTCCCACCCAGAGGCAGCCCACTAGGAAGGCCCCGAGGCTGTGACCAGCTCAGGCCTGTCTCCATGACTGTCCTGAGGGCTTGCATCCTAAGCCCCGGCTCCCGCGAAGGCCAGCACCTGGAGCAAGGCAGCGGCCAGCCGGCCCTGAGCAGGGATGGGTATCGGGCTGCAAACCCCAAGGCTGCCATGTGACGGCCGCAGTGCACCCTCGGGGCAGGTGTGGTGACTGTGGCCACTCCACTCATGGGGATGCCGCCCGCCTGCCTGGTGGAAATGCCCCAGCCCTGCCCTAGGGGCAGGGCCCCAGGGCAACGGGCTGGCAGGAGGGCCAGTGCCAAGCCCCGGGTGTGTGCGTGCAGATGCAGGCAAGTGCTCTCCTCCTGGCGGGCGCCAGAGGCAGCAGGACAGGGTCAGTGTGAGGAGCCAGGGCTCTGGGCCCAGTCCTCCTCTGAGGCATGCCCTTGGGCAGGCAGCCTGACCGCCCTGAGCCTCAGTTTCCCCATCTGTAAAGCGGGATGACGGCAGTACCCACCTCAAGGGGGCATGGTCAGGATCCGAGAGGACAGGGCACGGCACTGCCGTGTGGCGGGCTGCTGCGGCTGCGGCCCTCAGCCAAGCTCATGTTCCCGGTTAGGCTGCAGGTCCAGCAGAGAAGGGGCAGCTGTCCATCCAGATCCTCTTCACTCAGGGACGTCCTTCCCGAGGCTGTGTGTGATGCAGAAAAAGCGGGAGCAGGAGGGATTCTGGGGCGAGGGTGCTTGGTGGGGAACACTCCGCCCAGTGCACTGGCTTCACGCCTGACCACGGTGTTCGCTCCTCTCTCCCCAGGGAAGATGAGCACCGTCCACCTGCAGCCAGCGATGACCTCCTGGCTGCCCTGAGGTGGCCCGGGCCCTCCCAGCAGCCGGGCGCTCTGGGGGGAACTCGCCGAGAGGCCTGGCCGGACCCCAGTGAGGTGTCGTGTGCCCCGGGGCAGGCCTGCAGCTGCCCGGTGTGGTCTGGAGGCAAGGAGCCTGGGACCAGAGAGAACAGCGGTAGCTCGGTGTCTTCCGGCCGCCTCTCCGGCTCTTCGGGGGGCCACGAGCTGTGCACACCTCCCCCCAGGCTCTGGAAGGAGCGGCCCCCCCAGGTGCTGGGGCCTCCACGGCAGCCCCAGTGGAGCGACCCCCGTCTGGAGCGGCTTCGTGACAAGATCCGGGCCCAGGCAGCATGGCAGGCCAGCTGCGGCTCGCTGGGCACCTCGGCGCCCTCCAGTGCCTCGCGCCTCGGCAGGGCTCCCAGGCCGGCGCCCCGGAAGAAGGTCCGCAAGGTGGCACACGTCCCTGCTGCCCAGGCATGCCCAGGTCAGCAGCAGCTCTGCCGGCGAGGGGTGGGCTGGTGGCCCCTGGGAGATGTGGGCCCCAGGCCGCCGAGGCCCAAGGAGGGCTCAGGGCCAGGAGTTGAGTAGGGGTTCGGATCAGCAGCAGGGGGTGCACTTGGAGGGTCTCAAGGACGACTAAGACAGGGCGGGAGGGGAAGGTGGCGCAGGCCAGAGTGGAGGCAGGAGGGGTGGATGGGCCATGCAGAGGCTGTGGTGGGAGAGGTGGAGGGGACCACGCCCCTGGGCCCAAGGCCATGCCAGGCTGGTCACCGATGGCCTTGGGGAGCTGGGTGGGGCTTAAGCAGGCCAGTGGCACGGTCACTGGGAGTGTCCTACAGCTGCGGTAACAAGGTCCCACAAAGTGGTGGCGTAAAACAACAGGAACTGAGTCTCACGGTCTGGAGTTCGGACGTCCATGTCCAAGGGTGGGCAGGGCCATGCTCTCGCCAGTGTTCTAGGGGAGGATCCTCCCTGTGTCTCCCAGCTTCTGGTGGCCCCGGGTGTGCCAGGGATGGTGGGTGCATCTTCACGTGGCTGGCGTCCCTTCTTCCTGACACCGCGTCTCCTCTATAATGACGCCACTCCCATAGTGTTAGGACGCACCCCGCTGCAGCGTGAACTCACGTTAGCCTAACTGATCACATCTGCAAAGACCCTATTTCCAAACAAGGTCATGTTCACGGGTACTGGGGTTAGAACTGCAACATGCATTTTGAGGGGACACAATTCAATCCATAACAGTCAGGTTTGTGAGGACTCAGGTCAGTAACACCCTAAAAAGCCTGCCTGGGATTTAGAAGTTTCGAGGGCTTGCCTCCCAGCAAAGACCCAAGTGTGCCCAGGCGGTGAGGGGTTGGGGGGAGGCAAGAGCGGGAACTGAAGAAACACCCAAGCCTCGCATCCCTGCTGGAGCAGAGAGAGGAGGCCAGTCATGGGGCCTGTCTCATGGCCAGGCGGGAACTGATCTCTGAGAAGACAGGAGAGATAGCTTATTTTTTCATTTAAAAAATAATAGCTGCTTCTTTTTTTTTTTTTTTTTTTTTTTAATGAAAAAGGTAGTACATGTTTATCATGGAACATTTAGAAAGAATACAAAAAAAAAAAAGAAAAAAACACCCTTTGCCGTCGAGTCAATTCTAACTCATAGCAACCCCATAAGACAGAGTAGAACTGTCCCATAAGGTTTCCAAGGAGCGGCTGGTAGATTCAAACTGCCAGCCTTTTGGTTAGCAGCCATAGCTCTTAACCACTGTGCCACCAGGGTTTCCTTTAGGAAGAATAGATAAGCAACAAGACCAAGACAAAAGTCGTCTGTACTGCTGCCCACCCCTCTGCAGAATTACCCTGGCAGCACCCAGTGGGTGCCCCCCCAGGCTGTTGCCCCTACACACCCTTGTCTTTGCCACCGCGAGTTCCAGGCCTGACCGGCAGGCAGCCCAGCGGTGCTGCAGGCTGAGCCCTGCTCCCTGGCCTGGCCACAGAGCGCTGACGCTTGTTCAGGGAAGCTCTCTGAGACACGGGGGCTGATTCTGGTCTCTAAGCGACGCTGCCGTGAGCCCGCTGCCCAGCGACATGGCCGACGACGACCCGGGGTGCACTCTCAGGGTGGCTGTGTTGGAAGGCTTCCGAGCAGTGGCCAGCGAGCTGTCCTCGCAGCTTCTCACCGGTCTCCCTCCCTGCACTGCCCTTCTTTCCCTCTGCTCCAGATTTCAGCATCCCACGTGCCACTGAGAGCCTGACAGAAGACAAGGCGTCCACCAGCCAGGGCTGCGAGCCTGCCAGGGTCTCCCAGCGCCAGGCCTCCGGTGAGGGGACGATTGGGCGGCGGTGCAGTCTGCCGCGGTGCGGGACCTTGCTCCCTCCATGCAGTTTCTCTCACCCCATGCAATTGTTCTGTTATGATCCCACTCGTGGATGAGGATACTGAGGGTCAGAGAGGTCCCCAGCCAGGAAGGGGCCGAGCCAGGATTCAGGCCCAGCCTGCAGTTCTCATTCTCTGGTGCTCGCATCCTAACCCTCTGCAGGCTGCCCCACCCCCTCCCACCCCTCCGAGGAATCCAGGCAGGCTGCAGGCCTGGCTCGGCTCCGGCCCTGCCTTACCCAGGAGATGCCATGGGTCAGCCGACTTCCAGCTGGGTGAGGAAGGGGCCAGGGGAACGTCTAGGTTTTTGCTCACTCACTCATCAATGAAGGGGTGCAGGCAAGGATGGAGGGCGCAGGGGCTGCCTTTGGGGCTGATGGTTTGGCAGGTGGCATTCAGGAGCCTGGACTTGGTTGCAGGGCGGCGGGAACATCTGGGGTTTAAGCAGGGCATGACTGTGGGTGTGGGTGCGGCAGGCTCCCTCTCTTCATGGGGTGGGGACTGGGTCAGTGGAGGGAAGACCAGCGGCAGGAGCACTGTCCCTGTGGCCCCAGCGAGGTCCTGGAGACCAGGGATGGAGTGGGAGGAAGAGGCTGGGGCGCAGGGGTGCCTGGAGCCTCCCCCCAGGTCTGGCTGCCCAGGGTGCCCAGGCTTAGGGGGCTCTGGCCCAGGGCAGCCATGTGGGACTTCCACGGGGCCGTGAGGGCAGGCATGAGAGCCAGGTCCCCGGAGGACGATTGTCACCCACCCAAGTGCAGTGGGGGCTGGGACTGCCGCTCTAGCCAGGACCTCACTCGGCGGCAGTCACAGGCAGTGGTTGGGTGTGTCCCTCGCCCGCCGGGGGTGGTGACCAAGCACAGACTCCATGGGGGTCCCAGGCGGCCTGATTGATAGCTAGGCAGGGCCCTCTGCCTGAGCCACCTCTGGCCTCACCTGTGGTCACCAGCAGCTCTCCACAGCAGCCAGCACCCCCTCCTGATCCCTGCCCCCTTCATTCATTCAGAGTCAGTCATTCGTTCACTCAGCAAATGTTATGAGCATCCGCGGGCTGGCCCAGAGCTGGGCGCGGGGATTACAGGGATGAGAGAGTGGGGCCTGTCCTTGGGGCTCTCGGCCTGGAGGGGAGGCCACCAAGGCACCTCGAAACTTGTCGGCAGTGCGGCGCCTGCTGTGACAGAGGCGTGTGGCTCACGGGGCCCCAGCCCAGCTCTGCTAGAGGCAACCCCTCCCCGGCAGTGGTTCTGACCCAGAACATCGGGCGGGGCAGGGCCCTGCCGTGTGCCCTGTGGCCCTAAGCGGGTGGACCGGGCGGTGCAGGGCCGAGGGGCATAGGACCACCTCGCTGCACGACTCCAGGGGCGCCCTCACACAAGCCCCTGCGCTGGCGAGCCTGCGGGTCCCTGTGTGACTCACTGTCTCCCTCCCCTCTCTCTTCTCTCGCTCCAGTTCCAAGGGAAAAAACCAAAAGGTCCAAAGGTTGTTCTTGTAAAAGAGAGAAGCCTCCCAAGTCACCTTCTCCTGGAAGAGCTCCCAAAGGCAAAGGTGAGGGTTACTAATTTGGGGTCCACGAGGGGACGATCCTGGCTCTAGGTAGGCAAATGGGTTTCATCCCAGTGCGGACGGGCGGCTGGATGGCGTCTAGGGTCAGCAGGACTTGGGCGGAGGGGTCCCCCTGCCCGAAGGAGGGGCAGCATCGGCGTCCGTGTCTCAGGAGTCCGGAGCAACAGATGGTTCCTGCCTGTGCAGCAATGCAGCCCTGGCGACGAAGCCAAGTCCCAAGTCCCCATGTGCCTCAGCTCCACTTAACGCCTTAGACTCGGAAAACTGCAGTGGCACCAAGCTGCCCACCGCGCTCTAGCGTGGACGTGTAGCTCGCTCACGTCACAGCATTAGCGAGTAGCATGCATTGGAAGAGGCAGAAGGCCACGAGGGAGGCACCTGGGTATCCGGTTCGCAGGGCGTATGCCTGCTTTTTAGTTAAAGCCAAAACACCGAACACGTTGCTGTAGAGTCGATTCCGACTCATGGTGACCCCACGTGGGACAGAGTAGAACTGAGGTCCGTTGGGTTTTCTTGGCTGTAATCTTTACCAAAGTAGATCACTAGGACTTTCTGTGGTGCCAGTGGGTGGGTTAGAACCACCAACGTTTCGGTCAGCAGTCAAGCTTGACCCATTTGTGTCACCTTTGCTATTCTGTTCCGCGGCCTCATGTAACGAGCTCCTGCAGTTCCGCTGCCTCCCGCGGCAGGCAGGCGGCGGAGGAGACGCCACGCCCTGGCCAGGCTGCGCCGGTGTTCAGAATTCCAGGCGGCTAGCCCAAAGCCTGACTTTGGCACAGGCCCTCGGGGGCAGGAAAGGCCCTTGCCTAGGTCCCACTTATTCGACAGCTCTGGGGACTCAGAGAAGTCAGGTGGGGCTGCAAGACAGGCAGGCGTTTGTGTTAGGATGAGCTTCAAAGAAATGTCCAGAAAGTCTGCTAAGTGATCTTATCAGTGATTCACAGAGGGATTTCCGATTCAGGGGTCTGCTGCCCGAGGAGCAGGGCCTGAGTGAGTTCTCGAGGAGCCCTCTGCCCATGGCCCAGCTCAGCCCACCCGAGGAAGGGCTGGACACGGTGCGTGGGGAGCAGAGGGGGCGGGCAGCAGAGTTGGCAGTTCCTCCAGGCATTTCCTCTAGAACATTCTCGGCAGTCAGGGTGGAGTGGCCGTGCTCAGCGTGTCCCGGCCGGGTGCCCAGCTCTGTGCCATGTGACCTGTGCGCATTAGCTCATTCAATCCTCACGGCTCTCCTCTGAGGTAGACGGTCTTGCTCCCGTTTTACAGATGGGGAAATGGAGGCTCAGAGAGGTGCACCCGTCTGCCTGGGGCCACACAGGGCAGAGCCAGGCTTGGGACCTGACTGTCTTGCTCAAGGCCTGTGCTCTTAATTGGAGTGAATCCATTCACGTTTACATGGGACCACACCTGGGCACCTTGTCAGGGCCTGCCCCTGGAGGCCTGGGCTCCCCGTACCTCGGGTTGTGGGGCACCACCAGGGGCCTCTCAGGTTGGGCCGAGGTCAGCTCTGTTGGGCCCTTACTCTAAGAGTGAGCTTGAGAGCTTGGTTTTGCTCATCCTGTGCCTCGGTTTCCCCCCACGGCATAAGAACAGTCCAGAGGCCCCTTGGTGGGGAGCAGGCCATGTGTGCCCTGTCATGTCCGGGAGCGCGTGTTTCTGCCACCCATCATCAGACACTGGCTGCCTCTGCTCGTGGGCAGGGCAGTGGCTTCCAGAGGACTGAATAAGCATCCTCCTCCCCCACCCACTCTCAGCCATCGTGCACTCAAGTCAGATCCGGGAGCTCAGACAGGGCCACCTGGCGTGACAGCAGCCGTGTTTATTCAGCAGGCGGCGGCTGGGCAAGGGGCGATGCAGGAGAGGGGCTGGCACAAAATGAGGGACGCTGGGGGGCACCAAGAAGGTTCCGGAAGGCTCACTGACAATGCATAGAATATAGTAACAATTGTCTGCCTCCCCCGCACCCCCCAGCTTTTTGGTTTGTTTTATTTTAATAGCTCACTTGAAAAATGACCCGCATTCCGCCTGACACCAGGTCAAAAGGGTGTGCCGCTGACCGCATTCATCATCGTAACCACCGTGTCACCCTGTCTGGCCTGACCATTACTTTCTGTCAGTGACGAAGTCACAGCTGGGCTAAGAAGAGATGAGTTTGGGTTCAGAGGTCAGACCCGCAGGACTTGGGAATTGGATGAATTAGAAATTTGCTGTAGTTAACAAAAAATTAAATCACAATAGTTATAAAATATTCATCCATCCGGGCTGAAGGAAAATGAAGCCAGATATTTAATTTCAGATTATATCCCCGCACTTTGCATTTTTTATCATAGATTAAGTCAGCGCCAGAACTTTGACGGGGCACTTTGGGACTTAATCCATTTCCACAGATTAAAAATCCTCTCGTAAAGAAATTAATTGCCGCTAAACTGCTCAGCGGAAGAAAAAGATCTGTCCTTCAGGACCCATTTGTCTACCTGGTCTCCTCTGGCCGCTAATGGGGAAGAGGAGCGGCGGTGACGGAAGGTCCCCCCACCTGCCCATAGGGAGGGGTCCTCAGCCCAGGAGCGCCCCCCTCCTGCTCTGGCCCCCGCCCGAAACCCGGATGTGGACCGCAGGGCAGTTCCAGCCTCAGCCTGCCCTCCTGAGCTGGGGGAACCCGGAGACCTTCTGGGGCCAATTCTTGGGAATATTAGTGACCCCTGTTTCATCCTCGCCGACCCTGTGGGAGGGATTGTTAGATACTTCCCGCTTTTTACAGATGGGGAAATCAAGGCACCGAGAAGTGAAGTCACTTGCCCAGGACTCATAGCTAGCCAGTGCCAGAGCCGACATTTAAACCCGCATTTGGGGCGCCAGGCGGTGTTCCTAACCTCCGTGGGAGGTCCTAGAAGTGGAGGGCTGGCCGGAGGAGGAGGCTGCACCCCAGAGGGCACGGCCTTGGGCGTCCTGGCCTCGAGGGGGCGTGGCCAGGGGAGGTTCTGACTGCTAGGGGGCGTAGCCTCAGGGTCTGGCCAGCGAAAGGGCGTGGCCTTGGCATCCTGGGGGCGTGGCCACAGCGTCCTGTCGGCAAGGGGGCGTGTCCAGGGCGGTCCTGACTGCTGGGGGCGTGGCCTCACATACCTGGCTTTGACAGTGCTTTGCCTCGGCTTGGCTTCCTGTTCTCGGGAGGGCGAGGCCTCGGACGTCCTGGCTGAAGGAGGGCGTGGCTTCTCGTGGCCCATCCCCTTCTTGGAGTAGTAGCTTCAGGCCTGTGGCTGACACTGGGTCAGCGCAGGCCAGGAGGGTGCTGTGTCTAGGGGGTGTGTGGGTGTGCTGTGGTGGTCCTTGACCCAGGCTGGTTGCCTCCCCCATATGGCCCCCTCTCTGGACGATCCCTGCCTTAAAGCACCCTCACTCAGCCTCCCAAGTAAGAACCCTCTCCCCGTGGGGTGCAGGGGAAGTCTTGGCTAGGACCCCCCGTGGTCTTGAGCCCAGGCCACGTGATGTTTTCTATCCAACAGCGACTCTCCCGAGAGTCGAAGCCACCGGTGGTAGCGCTCTGGGCTAGCCTGGGGTGGGGGGCAGTGGGATCCTCGACAGGTGTGGTCTTGGCCTGGACCCCGAGCAGCTTGTGTGTGAGCGGAAGGCCTGCCCCTCTCGGCTTCGGCCTCGGCCAGGGGCCCTGTGGGTGGGTTTGTGACCATGGTGGTACTGGTATTGGAATTTGGTGAATGTGATCTGGAATTATGGAGTCAAACCTTGATAAACGGTGTTTATTATGTGACAGCACCTATTAAAGCAAGTTCATTTGCGTTTGTGATGTGATGGGTGGTTTCTGCCAGACTTCCCGGGACCCTAGCCCACCAGCTTGGGCGTCTTCACTGATCCCCTGCTTCTGTTGCTGCTGACTCTCACCAGCTTAAAAACAAATCTGTTTCCTCCGGTTCAGTGCCAACCCTCAGATATAACATTGCCTTCGGTTCCTCTGGCGCCAAGTGCCTGCCTGTGAGGCCCAGGCGCTGGAGGCCGGTGCCGGGGCTGTCAGTCCTTGTTATGATTATCTTTACTGTTATTATCAGCCACAATTTGCTGAGTGCGTGCTATGTGCCAGGGCCTGCGTGTTTTACAGATACAGCCCTCGGAGCAGGCTTTATTATCCTCGTTTTACGGAAAAGAGCGAGGCTCCCCGAGACTCAGCCCTGCCCCTCCCTTGCTGGTGGCTGAGGATCTGCCCCTCCCCTGCCCCCACGGTGCCTGGTCAGGCAGGATCTCCCCGTGTGCCCTCTGGGTTGGAGTGATCTGCTCCCCTAGGCTGCACGGCCCCACTGACTGCCGCACGGCCCCGGCCTTGGGTGTGTGTATGTGTGCGTGTGTGTTTTCTCTGTTTAAGATTCTGAGTTGGTGGATGTGTACTCCTGGAGGAGAGGACAAGCCCTGGTGAGGTTGCTGCTCGGGCCCCCTCCCAAGCTCCCTGGGCGCCGGAGCCGGGCACCCTCAAGAAAGCCAGCCCCCACCGCGGAATTAGGTACCTCGTGCCACGCGCCAGGGCTCTGGGCCTGCTTTGCTGTGGCATCGGGGGGTGGGAGGCTAGAGGCGGCTGTGCCTGGGGTGGAGGCAGCATCCGGGTTTGGGAGCAGCATCTCTCCGGGGACTCGTCAAAAGATGTCCACATCTCAGTCAGAGAGGACTTATCACCTGTGAGGCCCCAGACAGGGACACTGTCCCTAAGAGGCTCTGCCAGCCCCTGGGAAGGCAGGGAACCAGCTGGGCTCCCAGGTTTAAGGAGAACTGGACGGGAACCAGCGGGGCTCCTCTGGCAGCATCGCCATCTGTCCAGAGTCATACAGGCATGGCACCTGTCCCAGAGGGCACCTGTGTCCAAAGATGAGTGTAGAGGTCAAAGGGGGGACTCAGGGGGAAGGGCCCTGCTGACCCTCTCCTGGGCCTTGCCCTCCCGAGGGCCTTGCCCTTCCCCACACATCTGCGGCCCCTGAAGTGCCCATGACTGCTGTCTTTGTAGGACACATCGAGAAGGTTCCAGCTGCTAAGTGTGGCCCTGACCCCACCCAGACGCCCAGCCCAGCCTGCAGTGACCAGCAGCTATCTGCCACCACACCCAGCCTGGCCTCCCAGGACCAGCCAGCCACCATCCAGAACGCCATGGCCATCCTGCAAGACCTCCGCCGGCAGATCCAGGCCGGGCTGGACTTGGCCCGGCACCCGCAGTCCAGGCGGGCATCGGAGCTAGGGCGTCCAAAACCAGGGCTGCAGGACCGGGCAGAGAGGAAGCAGCAGGGCCCCCATAGTGCCCTGGACATGCAGAGCGCCTTCTCGAAGAGGCCTTGGGCCACCACCGAGGACAAGGGTGGCCCCCTTGAGAGGGCCTGGAGCTTCCCTGGGCAGCAGCCCTGCAGTGCCTCGGCCAAGTGGGAGTCCTACCCACAGAGGGCCTGGGCAGCCAAAGCCTGGGACTCCTCCTTCCAGAGACCTGGGAGCCCACCCACAAGGCTGGGCTCCTCCCCACAGCGGACCTGGAGCACATCAGCTGGCCAGGGCCGTGAAGACTGGGGTGCTCCTGTCCACCAGCTGTGGAACCCTCTGGAAAGGCCAAGTCCTCTGGCCCAGCGGCCCTGGAGCACCTCCTTCTTGCAGTGGCCAGGCGCCCGGAGCAAAGGCAGGGGCTCCGATCTGCTGTCCTGGCCGACACCCGCTGGGAGCTTGCCTGGAGATGCACCCGGGAAGGAGAACACGGAAGGGCTGACCACCGGCCAGAGGCCCCGGGGCGTCCCGGGCCCACCCCACAGCTCTGAGTCCTTGCGGGAGTTTATGCGCCAGAAAGCGCTGGCGCGGCGGCGGCAGGCGCTGGAGGAGAAGGCCGCGGCCGCGCGGGCGCTGGAGCTGCGGAGCCGCCGGCTGCAGGAGGTGTACCGCAAGCAGAGGGAGGCGGTGCTCGGGAGGCCCGCCCCCGTGGTCTCCCAGACCAGCCCCGGCATCGTGACCTTCGTGCCGCACTCTGCGCAGCCCGGGGTACGCTCGGCGGGCGAGTGGTCCAGACTGGGCCAGCGCTGGCCTCCTGGCGCCCCTGGATGGCCGGCCGCCAACTCTTGTTGGAAAACCAGGCCTCCGCGGGAGGGGCAGGGCTGGGACGCGGGCCGCCTTCACCCCTGGGTGGGGCAGAAGGTCGGGCACAGCTCCCTGCCCCTCTGTCCGTGCTCCCATGGGTTCCCAAACGCCTGCTGCCTGGAGCGATGGGGTCAGGAGGGACCTCGCCGCCCGTCACAGCCCCCTCGATTCCCCTGCGAGGCTCTGAAGGGTCCACCTGAGACTCCGGTGGAGGCCAGGGCCCAGCTTTGAGGCTGAGCGATGGGGTTGGGGGTCTTCCTGCTGGCGTGGGGCTCTGACGGATCCTCTTCTGCTGTAGGGCCTGGACACCCCCGGGAGCCTGGGGCTGCCCGTGCTGGGGTGGAGTAAGGTGACTTCAGGCATGGTGCTGGGGGACCAGGAGGCCCCGGGCAGGTGAGTGTGCGGGCGGCTGTGGGCGGGGCCTGGGCGCACCATGGGGCGGGGCGGTGAGGGGAGGCTGAGAGCAGGAGCTGACTGAGGCTTGGGTGAGACCGTGGGGGCAGGGTTTCCGTAGTGCTGTGGCCGGGGTCTGGGGGCGCGGGCGTGGGCGGGGTCTGGAAGGGCTGTGGACGGGGCCACAGTCGTGGGCAGGGCTGTGGACTGACTGGCCGAGGACACTGTCCTGGGGGCTCGGCCGACTTTGTTCCACTGCAGGCAGGGGTGGGTGCTCACTACCTGTAAAGTTTTTAATTGAGGTTAAATTCACATAACATAAAATTAACGTTTAAAAGTGAACAATTCAGTGAAAATATGGTGCAACTACCACCCCCATCTAGTTCCAAAGTATTTTCACCACCCCCAAAAGGAGACCCTATACCCAGTAAGCAGTCCCTCTGCCTCTCCCCTAGCCCCTCGAAACCACCAGTCTACCCTCTGTCTGTGGATTTGCTCGTTGTAGACATTTCATACAAGTGGCGGTTTTTTGTGACTTCGTTCACTCGGCATAGTGTTTTCAAGGTTCATCCATGTCACGCCACGCACAGAACTGCATTCTTTTTTGTGGCTGCATCACATTCCAATGTAGAGATGGACCACACTGTGTTTATCCATCATCTGTTGATGGACATTTGGATTGTTTCCACCTCTTGGCTGTTATGAATTGTGCTGTTATGAACTTCCGTGTAAAAGTTTTTGCAGGCACGTATGTCTTCATTTCTTTTGGGTATACTCCTAGGAGCAGAATTGCTGGGTCATATGAGTTGAGCCCACCCAGCGGCTCTGTGGGAGAAAAGACCTGGTGATCTGCTCCTGTAAAGATTACAGCCTAGGAAACCCTGTGGAGCAGTTCTACTCTGTCCTATCGGGGTGATAAGAGTCAAAATTAACTCCATGGCACCCAACAACATGGTAACTCTGTGTTTAATTTTTTGAGAAACTACCAAGCTGTTTCCACAGCGGCTGTACCATTTTGCATTCCTACCAGCAATGGACTAGAGTTCCAGTTTCTCCACAACCTCACCAACACTTGTCATTGTCTTTTTTTTTAACTACCATGTATCTTAATTGAACCAGAGCAGCTCTCCAGAAGATCCCCCTCCCCCATTTTGAAGCACAGGGGGCTTTGGTTGGGGGGAATTGGGCGCCCGCCCCTCACAAGAGGCTGTGTCCCCAGCGCTTGCTCTCTCAGGGGTGCGGGAGGGTTCCATGAGTGCAGCCAGTCTTTAGGCAGTGAATCTCTCTCTGGCCTCATACGTCCACCTGCCAAACGGTTCCCTGCACACCGTGGGCTCACAGCTGAAGGGAGAGCTGGCTCAGAGGCTGAGGGGCCCACCAAGGATGTCCTGCCCAGGGCCCCTCCTGGGTGTGGCTTTGGTAGCCTGTGTCTGGGGGAGCTTCGGGCTGACTCCCTGGGTGCTTGGCTCCTGCCCTCTTCACAGCCCTTCCTGACAGTGCCCTGTCCTTCAGCACCTCCAGGCAGAAGGACACCCCAACCCAGCCCCTCACTTCCAGAAATGTCTGACTCCCTTTTATTTTGTATGCAAAGCGCATATTCCCAGTCCACCCCAGAGATTCCAAATCTGTAGGACTGAGGGCAGCCAGGAGTCTGCATGTTTAAACTATACTTGACATATAGTTACATTGACAAGGATGGGTCATACGTGCGCAGCTTCATGAATGTTCACACACTGAACACACCCGTGTCACCCCCATCCCAGCGTCCCCAGGGCAGCCACCCCCTGACCTCTGATAGCAAACAGCTTGGCAGGGCTGGGGCTTGGGTGCTTATGTGACTGGGAGGTCAGGTGTGGGAGGGCCCTTGGGGTCTGACTTCTTTTGCTCAACAAAGTGCGGGTGACAGTCACCCACATGAACGCCTGAGGCAGTGGGTCTTCATTCTCACTTCTTGTGTCCTTGTTTTTCTTTTTTTAAATAGACTTTATTTTTTAGACTGGATTTAGGTTTACAGGAAAATTGTCTAGAAAATTACAGCATTCCCATATATCCCCCCTCCCCAGCTTCCCCTGTGATTACCATCTTACATTCCTGGGTCATTGGTTATAATTGATGAATCAATATTGATATATTGTTATTTAACTAAGGAGCCCTGGTGGCTCAATAGTGAAGTGCTTGGCTACTAAGTGAAAGGTTGGCGGTTCTAACCCACCCATTGGCTCTCGGGAGAAAGACCCTGTGTTCTGCTTCTATAAAGATTATATTCAAGAAAACCTTATGAGGCAGTTCTACTCTGTCACATGGGGGGCCATGCGTCAGAATCCACTTGAAGGCACCCAACAGTAACAACATAGTTTCCATGAGGGTTCATTCTCTGTGCGGTACAGCCCCGTGGGTTTTGACAAAGCATGTCATGTATCCACCATTACAGTGCCTGACAGAATAGTGTCACTGCCCTAAAAATGCCCTCGGCTCCGCCTGTTCATTCACCCACCCTGCCTGCTGACCCCCTGGCGATCACTGATCTGTTCACTGTCTCTCCGTTGTTGTGAAGCGCCTTGGAGTTCGTTTCCTACCCATAGCAACCCCGTGTACAACGGAAGGAAATGCTGCCCGGTCCTGCGCCATCCTCACAATCGTTGCTGTGTTTGACCCCATGGTTGCAGCCACTGTGTCAACCCATCTCATCGAGGGTCTTCCTCTTTTTCACTGACCCTCTACCTTACCAAGTACGATGTCCTTCTCCAGGGACTGGTCCCTCCTGATACCATGTCCAAAGTCCATGAGACCAAGTCTCTTATCCTGCTTCCGAGGAGCACTCTGGCTATATAGCTTTGACTTCTCCAGAATGTGCTAGGGTTGGAATCCTGCAGCATGTGACCTTTCAGACTAGCTTCTTTCACCTAGCAATGTGCATTTGAGGTTCCGCCATGTCTTTTCGTGACTTGAGAGCTTGTTTCTTTTTATCACTGAGTAATACTCCATTGTATGGATGGACCACAGTTTGTTTATCCATCACCCGTTGAAGGACATCTTGGTTGCTTCCAAGTTTTGACAATTATGAATAAAGCTGCTATAAACATTCGTGTGCAGGTTTTTATGTGGACATACGTTTTTGACTTATTTGGACAAATACCCAGGGGAGTGATTGCTGGCTCATACGGTTAGCCTGTGCTTAGCTTTGTAAGAAACTGCCAACTCTCTCCCAAGGTGGCTGCACCATGATGCATTCCCACCAGCCATGAGTGAGAGTTCTTGTTGCTCCATATCTTTGTCAGCACTTGATGTTGTCAGTGTGCTGGATTTTAGTCATTCTAATAGGTGCGTAGTGCTAGTTCATTGTTTTAAGGGTTCTTTGTATAGCTTGGATACAAGTCCTGTATCAGAGATGTGTTTTGCAAATATTTATTCTTTTCATGTTCTTTTTTTTTTTAAAAAAAAATAACATTTTTACTGTGTTTTTGCTGAGAGTTTACACCGCAGATTAGGTTCCCATTTAACAATTCCCAAACAAATAATCCAGTGACATTTGTTACATTTTGCCCAGTGTGTCAACATTCTCATTAATTCTGTTCTGGTTGTTCCATTTCCAGTAATCTAGTTTCCATGCCCCCTTACCTTCTCTTCTTCGCCGTAGGGTAATTGTTGACCGTTTGGTCTCATATAAGAAAACTCTGCTGCCATTGAGTCGATTCCGATTCATAGCGACCCGCTAGGACAGAGTAAAACTGCCCCATAGGGTTTCCAAGGAGTGGCTGATGGATTCAAACTGCCAGCCTTTTTGTTATCAGACGTAGCTCTTAACCACTGCACCACCAGGGCTCCTGGTCTCCTATGGATGATTTTTTAAAGGAGTGCGGTACTCACAGGTTATGTTCTTTATTTTATGAGCCACTTTGTTATTTAGCTAAAAGATGACCTCGGGGGTACTTTTGGTTCAAGATTTAAAGAGTATCTCAGGGCAAAAGTTTCAGGGAGTCCTCCAGTCTCAACTAGTCCAGTAAGTCTGGACTTTTTAACAATTTGAATCTGTTCCATGTATTTTTCCCATTCTGTTAGGAACCATCTATTGTGGCCCTGATCAGAATGGTCAGTAGTGGTAGCCGGGCACCATCTAGTTCTTTTGGTCTCAGGGTAGATAAGGCTGTGGTTCATGTAGACTATTAGTCCTATAGACTAGTTTCTTCTCAGAGTCTTTGGTTTCCTTCTTCCTCTTTTGCTTTGGACAAACAGAGACCAATAGTTGTATCTTAGATGGCTGCTCACAAGCTTTTAAGACCCCAGACACTACTCACCAAACAAGGAGGTAGAACGTAAACTTTATGAACTATATTATGCCAAATGACCTAGGTGTCCCATGAGACTATGGTCCTAAGCCTTCAAACCCAGAAAACCAAACTCTGTAGGTGTTTGGTTATGTCTGAGAAGTATCCATAACTGTGCCCTCTACGTGGCACAGTTTATTATATATATGAATATATATGCAAGCACACACATATTTATATATATGTATAGATACATCTCCAAGTGTATACATATATATACCTGTCTTAGTTATCTAGTGCTGCTATAACAGAAATACCATAAGTGGATGGCTTCAACAAACAGAAACTTGCTTTCTCACAGTTTAGGAAGCTAGAAGTCTGAATTCAGAGCCTGGCTCTAGGGGAAGCCTTGCTTTCTCTGTCAGCCCTGGGGGAACGTGCTTATCTCTTCAGCTTCTGTTTACTGGTTCCTTGGAGATCTCCACGTGACTTGGCGTCTGTCTTCTCCCATTTCTGCTTGCTTAATCTGCTCCTTTTATATTTTATAAGAGACTGACTCAAGACACACCCTACACTAATCCTGTCTCATTAACAGAACAAAGACAACCCAGTCCCACATGGGATCACAACCACAGGTATAAACCAAAAAACAAACCCGTTGCGTTGAGTTGATTCCAAATCATAGCGACCCTATAAGACAGAGTAGAACTGCCCCATAGCGTTTCCAAGGAGCATCTGGTAGATTCGAACTGCTGACCCTTTGGTGAGCAGCCAAACTCTTAACCACTATGCCACCAGGGTTTCCAACCACAGGCATAGAAGTTAGGATTTACAACACATGTTTTTTGGGTACACAATTCAATCCATAACAATACCCGGACTTGTCTATGCATCTCTATGTACATACGTAACCACCCGCTTTTTTGTTGGTGGCAGTGTTGTTGCAAAATGATGCACGTCCTACCCTTTGCCCAAAATGTCCTTTTCTGGTGTGTCGTTCACCCTGGTCACGCTGTGTGCACTTCACCCACATGTGGTGCTGTCTTCCCCGCTATTTTCATGTCTTAATCCTCCTTCTTGCTGACGATGCACAAGGGCTGTTGTGTGATGCCTGTACCGTTGTCCTGGTCTCTGCTGTAGACACTTGGCCTGTCGCTGATGCTGCTGCGAAGCTCCCCCCGCAGCCGTGTTTCTGCACTCACCGCAGAGCAGGCGACCCACCTGCTCTGCCCTCTCTGCCTGCAGCTTCTGCCTGTGTTTGAACAGAGCCTTCAGCCACCCCAAGAATCGAGAGACGGAAGACAGTGCCCCCCTGCTGATGTCCACCAACGCCTCCCTGCACCCCTGGAAGCTCCAGGACCTGCCCATGAGCTGCCCACCGCAGCTGTGCATCTATCTGGACCCCAAGGAGGCTGAGAGCCTGGGCACGGCCCGCCCCCTGCTCTTCCAATCCAAGCAGGCCCGGCTGCAGGCCCTGGAGACCACGGCCAACGTCCTGAAGCAGCGGATCGACGTGCTCACTGAAAAGCTGCACAAGCCCGAGGCACTGGACCTGCTCCGGGACCCGGCCCTGAGCCTGCCACCACCCCTGCCGCCCAGCCCCAAGCCAGCCGCCGCCGCTGTCACAGCCCCAGCCTGGCCCAGAGCTTTGGAGCCCAGCAGGGATATGGGGGCGCTTCTCTCTCCCCCGTGCCTGCCGGACGGTGAGGCACTGCCCTGGCGCTCTGGCCGGGAGTGCTGGCAGCACGCGAACCCGTGGGACCAGTGCACGAGCAAGCTCCAAGGTAGGACGGTGCTGGGCCTCAGAGGGTCTCGAACCCCAGGGGTGACCAATGGTCCCTTGGGCTGAGGGCACCCAGACCCTCATTTCCCCCCTGTAGAACCTTGTGCCCGAGACTTGCCTCCCCTCTGCCCTAGCTCTCCGCTCCAGAAGGGGGGCGGGGCACCATGACAATGTGCACCAAGTCTCTGGTGGTGCAGCGGTTAAGTGCTCTCTGCTGACCAAAGGGTTGATGGTCTAAGTCCACACAGAGATGCTTTGGAGTAAAGTCCTGGCGATCTACTTCCAAAAAATCGGCCATTGAAAGCCTTATGGTGCACAGTTCTGCTCTGACACGCACGGGGTTGCCGTGAGTCACGCACGGGGTTGCCGTGAGTCACGCACGGGGTTGCCGTGAGTCACG